GGGGGGGGGGCATTTCTTTAGAGCGGCAAAACAAACCAGCCGAGCCAGAAACGCCCCACTGCGCGTCAGCGGCTGACGTCAAACTGTCCCTTCCAAAGGACAGTGAGGCGATAGATCGCTTTCCACTGGGCACATCAGTCGATGGTGCACAGAGGGCACGGCTATACCATTTTTTGTGGCTTAGTTCTGCAGCTACCACTGCAGGGGCATTAAATGCAAGAACCAGACAGTTCTGATCATTCTTAACCCAGGCAAGGTCACCCTGTACTCATACAGCACATTTTTTGAGGAAGAAAACATGTGAAGAGACACCTTCGCGTTTCTCAGCTGAGAAATGAGCCTCTAAGCTTGCCAACATGGGTATCAATAGCCATAATGGCTTAGACAAGCACGCACACACGCTATTTCTGGCTCCTGCTGCAGATCAGGTCTCCCTGTGACCATCAAGCACGAAGCAAAAAAAAAACAAAACAACAAACCACCCTACGTCACTAGTGACCCATTTCTCTGACATAACAAGATTTCTTTCAAATTCTTACCCAAGGGAACCTAAAACTGTGCAGCAGCACTGAAAGAGGGTTGGTGTTTGGTATCAGAAGGAATAAATTCAGCAAGCCCTACACACAGCTGGAATAATTTTCAGAGAAGCAACACATCTGTTGTTCACAGGAACTTCTCCCAAACCAGAATATACCCGGCACACCTCCAAATTCCGTCTACGGCAGTCTGCCTCCAACAGCTTCACCCTACCACACAAAGTGACCCTGGAGGGAAAAAGCAGCCTAGACAGGACAGCGGGAAAGTAAGGAACAGGTGAAACCTTGACTCATACTTGCGTGATATCCGAGTGCTCTGGGATTTCTAGTAATTCGATCTGTTGTTCCTGTGCCTGTGCGATAAAGGACTCTTTAATGTCTTCAGAAGTACAGTGGTCCAATGGGACAGGAACCACCTGGAGAGGGAGGACAGCATTTCCATCAGGAGAAGAAAAGACAAAACAAACCACTCGCAAAAAGCAATCAGTCCATCACTGGAGCTGGTAGGCTCCTCAGTACTGCTCAGCATCATCAAACAGGACAGGTGAGCACCCATCTGTACAGGCTTAAACTTATGAGAATTTTTCTGTAGGAGGCGAACAAAAGCTGAAAACTAAAAGCTTGAAAAAGTTCTCAGGACAGCCTTCTCCTTTCTGATCTCTGTGGTAGTTTAAGGCCGCTCTGACACAGCTACAGATCTGCCAAACACAGAAACCACCACAATAAACCCCTGAACGATTGACACACAAGGACAAAGAAATTAAAATCTGATCAAAGGGCTGGTACTGGTGCACAATGACCAGAGTTCTGCATATATTTTTAGATTTTCAGCCTGCTTCACTTACAATTGCGAACACAACAGTTCATGTGCCCATGTTAGCTGACCAGAGTCAGAGTGAGGTCTTGCAACTTATCTGAAAATCTTGTGGGCTTTTTGATCAGTTCCATGCAGGGAAAAGTTTTCCTCACCCACTCAACACAACTCAACACTGTGCTGCTGTAACAGGAAGCATTAAAGGACTGGGACAGAACCAGCACACCAGTTTTAGTTTTGCTCTGGCTCTATCTGTGGGTAGGACGACTTCTTTCCGTGCTCTGGGAAGGCACAGAATAAAAGAGGGAAATTTGAAGGTGAGCTGTCGCTTTCAATGCATTTGCAGCTAAGTGCAAGTTTATATTCTCCCGGGGTGACCCTAAAACCATACCTGTAACTGCAGATGCTGACTCCTATAGTTTCTTTCAAACAGGACATATCTCTTTCCCTTGCTTCTGAAGAATTCCTTTAGGGCAGACTTGTACTTGGTCACTTCTTCCACCACCTCTGAAGACAAGTCAACCACTGACTGATAGTGCCCAATGGGCAAAATCAAGACGTGATCAGGTAATAAGCCACCTTTGGCCAGGGCAAGATAGCACTAGAGTGAAACAACACACACCAGTTACTCACCACAAGCACCACTTACTTACCATGCTGTGGAAACTGATCCTCTGACTGCATACTGAGTATCCCCCAGCCTAGCGAATCTGCCTCAGTAATGGGAAAGTCTTCTCCTCTATATCATTTGTTAGGGATGGTTTATTAGCAATTTATTAATTAGTAGAGGAATCAGAGAGGGACTGCTAGAGGACAAAAAAAATAAAAAATAATCTTTCGAATGCCAGAAAATGCCTTGTCTGCAGGAAAGCAGCTGAGTGAAGTTCACCACTGTGGCCAGAGTTTCTTACTACAACAAGAAAATCATTGACAGCTTTTCAAGTAAGCCTGTGGACAAACCCATCACTGTAGCAGTTTGAAGAGGATTGTGCCATACAGGACCAATAACTTCAAGCAAAGTGAATACACCAATGACTGAATTAGTCTCCGAGATGTACTTTGAGATGTCGACTTTAAAGCTATCTTACCTTCTGTTTAATCTCTATATAACAAAACTGGAACCAATCATCCCAGGGAGATCTGGCATAACCCCACACAGCGCATCCTGCCACTACAGCACGTCCCAGTTTACACTGAGTTCACGCTGGAAAAGTTTCTGCCAGATGGTAACACAAGCAAACCCTGAGGGCTGGCACAGCAAGGAAGTGTTCTGGCACCGCAATCCAGCTCTGCTGCTGAAGCAAAACTGGGCCACGCTTCATTTTTTTAAAAGACTTTATACACTTGTGTCTTTTCAAACAAAGTTTGGGTTTTTTAAGATTTAAAATTCGAGACTAATATTTTATATCGCTGTGTCTTAGCATGATTCTGCTGACAGGTAGCAAAGAACGTGCTATGGGTACTCACATGCGTGCCAATACTAACAACCAAGTGCTTCTCAACTTCTGGGCTGGCAAGGCAGAACCAGCAGGGCCCTGTGGGCTGTGCTTTATTGGGAGAGGAAAGAGAAATGAGCATTAGCACAAGGCTTATTTGTCAGAACATGGAACAGAACAAGATCTGGAAGAGCTGTTCATTTTCCAACCATCCTTCCCAGTTGATAAAGTGCTGGAGATGTTAGAAGGACACAGTTCCTGGAAGCAGATCTGGTCAGAGAACTGGTGCCTCTGGGAAATGCCAGCAAGAGAGGAGGCAGTGGCAGTCACACCCTTGCTGACTGCCATTCTCATCGAGTGCTCTAATTACATGAAACAGGAATTCAGTGCTTACAGCCCACTAGTAAGAAAGCACAAGCGAATTTAAACAAAGGTCATGTTTGTAGGAAATAAGGGACCCTTCATTCCTCTGTATTCCCACTGCATCTAGTATAGTGACAGAGCATGTTGGCAAGCTGACATACACAGCTCAATAACTTGAGAAAAATAAAAACTGAGATGATCCAGTGGCTCAGGAATAAAGCATCCGCATACTTACGGGGTTTTTTGGCTTGCTTAGGTTGCGAGTTCCCTCTCTCTTTTCCATCTGAGGGACGTTTCTTTCCCTGTTGCTTGTTCAAATCAAAGAAAAACTGACAAGCTGATTCTTCCTGTTTAAAAAAACAAAAACTGAAGCCCATTATAACTGCATCACAGAGATTCACAGTGTGTACAAGAATTTGGTTTTTCATGAAGAGGTGTAAACACCTCTAAAAAACATTAACAGCAAAAGCATCAATATCCTGGAACAGAATGAATTGACCTCTCTCAGTAATGCAGCCTGCCTGGATACGCAGCCTTAGCCAGGGAAAAAGTTCTGGGAGAGATGCCCCAAATTGCTACATCCTCCTATTTAGCCTTACGCTGAACATTCAGAATTGCTTGATTTTATGGATTGTTCAAATCTCTTTTTCACTTGATAGCCAGTGCCAGAACAATGTCTTTATTTCCTAGAGACGTTAACCTCTCAACAGACTCACACAGAGGCTGAAAAGTTGCCATGTCCGGCAAAATGCCATTAGAAGGCTTTAATGCTGCAGAGGAAAGCACTTGGCAAGAGCACGGCAAAAAGCAGGGCTGCTCACGCAGCTTCTGACACCAATGGCTGACTGTGTGCTGAGCTGCTCGTAAGGAACAGTCCTGACAAGCAAGCATATCTAACTACAGCATCACCATGCAGACCTGCAGGAAGAACCATTGAGTAGTTTGGGCTGGAAGTGACCATTAGAGGCCATCTAGTCCAACCCCCCCTGCAGTCAGCAGGTACACCTTTAGCTACATCAGATTGCTCAGAGCCCTGTCCAACCTGGCCTTGAATGTCTCCAGGGATGCGGCTTCTACCACCTCTCTGGTCAGCCTATGCCAGTGTTTCACCACCCTCACTGTAAAAAAATTTCTTCCTTATATCTAGTCTGATTCTGCCCTCTTTTAGTTTAATACCACTACTCCTCGTCCTATTGCAACAGGCCCTGCTAAAAAGTCTGTCCCCATATTTCTTATAGGCCCCCTTTAAGGGCTGGAGGGTCGCTAGAAGGTGTCCCCGGAGCCTTCTCTTCTCCAGGCTGAACAACCCCAACTCTCTCAGCCTGTCCTCACAGGAGAGGTGTTCCATCCCTCTAACAATATATTCACGGCCTCCTCTGGACCCACTCCAACAGGTCCACAATTCCAGAGCTGGACGCAGCACCGCAGGTCAGGTTTCACCAGAGTAGAGGGGCACAATCACCTCCCTCGACCTGCTGGCCATGCTGCTCTTGATGCAGCCCACAACACGCTGGCTTAAGAAGGGGCATATTGTAACAGCCTCCCACGCATTGCATCTATACAATTTGGCTGATGCAAATAGTTCACACAGAACCCTGAAGTGTTTTGGACAGAAATATTCCAAAATTAAAGCCAAACACTGTTCCAAGCTCCCTGAACACAAGTGAGTGAAACCAGAGCGCACATTTGGGGGAGAAGGCAGCAGTACCTCTGCACACAAGGGTGCTTTGGTCTTCTGTGCCTCCTTCTGTGATTTTCGGTATGGATTTTCGGTGACATCCTGTGGCTGTTTCACTAGCTCTGCAGGGTCCATTGAGCTCATCGGAACAATGCTGAAGGCATAGAGATACTAGAACAAAAACAGACAGCTCAAATGCAAGCAGCTTTTGCTACAATTGCAACTCTGAAGAGGTCAGCTGTGAACTAAGCCACCCTGAAACGGTAACACACAACTTAGCACTGCAAGAACTCAACAAATCAGCTTTTAAGCTAAGGCAGTACATGAAAAACATGCTCCCTGTGCCAGTCTCCCACTCGGTGCAACCAAGAGTTTAGGGAGTGCTTTCAAGTGGCTCACTCCTTTCACTTTAAGGAAAGATCTCTTTGAAAAATAGCCGTGTATCCTGCTTGAAAAAGGAACAACATTGATCCTCGCCTCTTTCCAGTCTTTCTTTCTGTCCAGAACTCCTGGAACTTTTAATTGTTACCAGGCCTGGTTCCTATGCCTTCTTAACCACTAGAAACCTGTCCTGCTGTACCAATATTCTGTAACTTTAAGGGGAGAAGAGAAACAGGTTAAAAAAAAACAAACAACAAAACAAACAAAACAGCCCCTTCCTGCCCCAGAAGTTAGTAATTTTCAGTGATTTGTAAGGGCTCCTTTGGAATTTCGCTTCCTTCTTAAAGCAGGCCATGCAAACAGAAAATATGTAAAGCAGTTGGGGAAGAGGAAGGAAGCAGCTTTCTAACCATTTTCCTCTGCAGCTGTCTTCACAGCTACATGCCATTTGACCAGGAACAGAACAAGGGTGCCTCAGAACACATCTTGCAGCCCTTACCCTTCTGACATAATGGGCAAATGGGTACCTATCACTCAGGTGAGACAGATCCCTCCACTTCAGTCAAGCTTTTAAGTGATCGACACAGTCCTCTTAGCTAGCCAAATCTGGGCTTCCTGCCATATTACTTGTACTAGGGAACAGAAGAAAGATTCAAGAGTGTCAGTACCTTTTTCTTGCTTGTATTGCCAACATCAGCAAGTGCAATAAACCTGCTCACATGCTGTGGGGTTTCCTGTAGCACTGTGTGATTTCTGTAAGGAAGGAAAACACGACTGTACTGGCATATACAATATAGAAAAGGACACTGGGAAAACCACGTGTCCTCCACGAAGCTACTCAGATAGCATGTCAGCTACAAACAGCCTTTGGCAGAGAACAAAGAGGCCTGAGGACAAGCAGACTCCTGAGATCTAACAGCAAACAGCTGCAGAGACCAAAATGACATCTCTTTGCAGTCCAAGTACAGAGAAAAGAGGACAACTCACTAGTCTGAAAACAGCTCTATCTTTAAAGTGTTTCCTGTCAAAAGCATAATAATCTTCCCCAACACCAACACGACAGCCTTAGTTTTATTCGTCGGTTGTTCTGACACCTACCTGCCCTCACTAGTCACACCTTATGTACAAAGTTATGACCAAAGACACCAGTCTCTTCACCACAAACCAGCTTTTTCATGACATATTTTCAGAGATACATCCCTGAATGAGGCTGAACACTGTTTAAACGTGACTAAGGGCAACTAACCTGGCACCAGTTCACAGCGATGTACTTGAATAAGTACTGTCAGCAACGGCACAGTTTTTGAGGCAGAAGGAATTATGGTAAAAAGATGCACCTGAGAAACAGTCTTGACCCTGTGTTGGGGCTGGATGACTTAAATTATTTTGAAGTTGTCCTCCTGCGTTCTTTAAAAATTGAACTCTTATTAGAAAATAAATGAGATTTCACATTGTCTTACAAACCTGTAAGGAAGTCTTTCATAATAGGCCTTCTCCAGAGCAGCAAAGTGGTACCTTGGTTTGAGACTCGCAGCTAGATCAGCCACTAACTTGGAGCCACATTTCTTGGTATCTATTTCTCCCTAGAAAATACAAAGCAAGTTTTATTTCAAAAACCTGTCAACTTGCAGTGAAAAGAACCAGTCTTATACAGAACTGCATACTGGAAATGTAGTGACTGACTATAGTGGTCACCATTCCCTGGAAGTGGAAGAAAAAGGCAAAAGGTCTTGATCTCTTATCGCCAACCAGAGCCTCCTCATTTATTCCATTTTGTGTACTCAGAGGTTGCATCCACTTGTTTCATCAGTCTAAGTTTGTCACATTTTCCTTCTCTTGGTCTTGTGAAGCCAGAGCAGCACAGAGTGAGTTTGGGAAACACCAACAGATGTCAAAATCATTAAGACAAGCTTTAGTGCATGAGTCAAGTGAACAGGAAAGCTCTGAGGTTTCCTTAGGAAGCAAAATTTTATCCCACTCCCACGCCTGAGAAGTCAGAATAAAACAAAACACAACCAAAGAGCAGACTTCAAACCATTTCCTTCACAGAAGCCTCTTGTGCCGTCCTTTCCCTGTTAGCCTTAGACTAAGAAGTGAAGTAGGGAAGGAGAAGGGCGGAGGAAGAGAGAAGTTCAGGAATAGCCTACGTCTGTTACCTTGGGTAAAAGCATGGGGAATGAGACTCTGACCTGGCAGGCATCTGTCACAGTCCTTCACTGGGACAGGCACTAACCCACCCTCAAGAAAGCAGTTTTCCTCTCAGCAGGCATGGCAGAGGGGAAACCAGAAGCGTCTGCACTGAGGGCTGGCTGCTTCCAGCCCCACTGAAAACAGCCAGAGCTACAAAGCACCTCAGGAAAAGGAGACCCACAGACTTCTCCAGGAAGTCAATTCTCATCCATGCAATTCAGCACCTCACACCACTTTCATGGAAAGAGAAACTACAGGTGACAAAAAGCAAGAGACCTAATTGCTCGTTCCTCAACCTTCCTGCTTTATTTGAATGACAGGATTTCAGGGTCTCAGTCCACAAAGGAATCTCCAAGACTTATTTAAATCCTCAGGTGATAAAGTACATACTCAAAAAAAATGCATATTTGAATATAATCACTATCATATACTCCTCTGTTAATCCAAGTGAGTACATTCTCAGAAAATTCATGCCAAGGGAAGCCAAGTGTGGAATGATACACTGAACTACTACAGAGAATTCCCAGACCCATGGGGTTTTTTTAAAGCCAGAATATCCCTACAACTTGTTCCTCTCCAGCTGCCTAGGCTAGTGGGATGGAAGCCAAGGGAGGATTCTTTATGCTTTTACACTGAGGATCATATCTCTTTTGGGATGCCAGAAGATACTGAGAGGAAGCAAAAAGTGTACTTTCACCATGCTATGCAGCCTTGCTCTCCAGGAAGGTTTCAGATCACCTGAACTTAGACTGGAAAATCACTTCTGAGGAACGTTAACAACAGAAAGTTGGACACAAATGAAACAACATCCTCACAATCCGTATACAGGAAGAACCAGTCCATTGGTCCTTCTTCTCTGAAGAACCAGAACATCTGCTGTCTGTTTTCTGCACTCAGCTTTCTCAAGCACTCAGAGATGGTCCAATAGCCCAAATTGCCACAGCAAGCAGAAAAGCGATCCTTTGTTAAATCCATCTGGAAACCCATTCCAGCAGAAAACAGAACACTTACCGCATTGTTGGCAAAAGTTCCCACATCTCTGGGCCAGGGGGATGTCAGCAATATATCCACACCTTTAAAGTTTGCAGTTGATAACAAAGTTGTTTTTAGTTCTGCCACATCCTTTGCGCTAAAACTGTAGGCAGGAGCTGGCTCATCCTGGGACTCGGTACCACTCAGGTATGCGATCTGCAGTCCAGAAGTACCACTGTAAAGACCTCGACGGCCTGCATTAACATACAGGCACCCACTCGAGATATAGACAAGGCAAGCAATCTTAGTCGCATCACAGACACAGGACCAAATTCAGCAGTCCTGCCTTACTTCTACTGAAACTCTCCTTACAGACAGGTGATTTTCTGTGCCCATAAACTGCAGTAAAGACGATTTTTAGCGCAATGGCTCAAACCCAACCCTGCCTACAGCGAGGCAGCTGTTCAGACAACCCCCAGTCTTCTCACTGCTATCTTGCTTCCCAAAAATCAATCCATACCAAAAGCTTAGTGTGAAGGCTAAGTAAAAAAAGCCAACTGCAAGTGCTTTTACTTGTTATGCTTTTCGTCAGGTGGCATTCTAGAGAGAAGCTAGTTTTTCCTTTTAGCTTTGCTACAGCTTCATTACCTTTAAAGATGACACTTCTTACTTCTGCTACTCCAGTACAACCTCAGAACACAGCAAAATCATAATTCAAGTAGGAAACCGTCCCTATGGGACGGGCATGATATGGGAATAAGATATTCTCCAAGCACAAGCTCTTTCAACCACTATTCCTTTTGGTTAGCAAGTTCAGCGTTAGAAAGCAACATAAAAAAGCTGGGTTCTCTTTCAGATTTTACGCAGCAGATTGTATCAGCCTTTCAACACAGAGTTCAACTCCAGTCTGAAACCCAGAATAAGAAATGCCACCTTAAAATTTCCAGAAAAAGGAAGGGCTTTGAAGTGGGAAGATCAGAATATGTTTGTGAATGCACCACTTGGGCAAATGCAAGTCCCTTATCACAAACAACCTGCAGCCTTACCTAAATAAATGATGTTCTCAGCTAATTCACAGCCACCGATGTCTGGAAAGTAGCTCACAGTCACTTCGTCATTAGCACCGAGCACATAGGTTGGAATTGGAGCTGAGGAAGAAACCCACATGCACTCAGTCTGCTTTAATCCAAGTACATTAGCACAAGTTCAGTCCGCATTTACTACAAATCGCAGCAGGTCCCGTCCTTTCCCACAGATCCTAACATCACTCCTTTGCAGTGTGCCAAGGAGCAATAAGCACAGAACAAGAAATCTTCCTTCAAAAGAAGTCCCCAAGCCTGCTGTTTCCGCAGATGCATATAGCACCAGCTGAGAATAACCTCTGCTTTAACTACAACTCATTCCACTGCCTACATCAGAAGATCAGCTCCAAAATGATTCATAGCCCTAAAAACATAGGTCTTCTCTAGGGCACTGCTAAGTAAATAAGAGAGCACAGGGAGGCCTGGTGATTCAGTTTAAGCTGATGTTTAAGTATGGCTACCGAAAAACTGCACACCATTGATGTTTAGGGCAAAAGCCTGGGTTCATCACCTCTGATTCACTTGGTAGAAGAACTTGTTGCAAGCCTTCACCTAGAACTGGTGGATATAATAATAAAAAAAAAAAAAAAAAGCAATGGGAAGTACCAGTTTTAATTTCTCTATGGCTAGGTGAGCAATAAAAATTTATTTCTCCCAACAGCATAAGCTTCTTAGGCTACCCAGGCTGAGAAAACAAGGACCGTCCCACACGGCAGCCTGCAAGCTGAAACCATAAGGAGGTGACGGTAGGAACAGAAGTGGAGCATAAGACATCCAGGCAAGGAGAGAGAAGACCCTGACACCAATTAGCAGCAACCTGTGTCTCTCCTACAACTGCAAACAGCGCTGGCCAGATGACCCGGGCACAGGGCTTGGTGCCCAAGTCACGGGCAGGCCACTTTGCTCGAGAAATGAGTTTTGTTTCAAAGCAAACCAACCCATCTTCCCCTCCTGTGTGGAGTTTTCCCACTTGAGTTTAACTGCGACTTCTGAATTCACTACAAGGAGACAGCAAAGTGGGTTGTGAAATAGCGCAATCACCAGCATCCAGAGTGACACCACCTTCCTTACCTTTCTTGGCCCCTGTGCGATAGTCTGCCCATTCTGCCTCTGAAGTAGAGCCAAAAAAATTCCCAACGCACAAAAGCATCTAAAAACATCAGATAAAGTGAGAGTTGCCATTTGACCAAAGGCACAACACGTGCAACATTTTCACCGACGTGCTGTGTTGTCACAATGCTGTGTCACACATCAGTTCAGCAGCATTTCAGCTAGTACGGTAGAGGTTCCTCTACGTTTGTCTGCGCCCGGTATTAAACACGTAACAGCAACATTCACGAGTTCAGACGTGATAAAGCGCCAGTCGCTCCCCCACACTCCATGCTCACAAATCACAGCTCCTGCCG